TTCTTGTACTGTTATCATGATTAATTATCATGGAAACTTCTGAAAATGTTGCTAGTCGTGATCGATAAAAGACTACCATTCATTATCGCCGATATAAAGTTTTGTAGTGGCAGTTTTTATACTTTGTTTATTATGGTGAAAGATTATTGTTAAATATTAAATAAGTTTATACAATGAATATGACAATAATGCTACTTTTCTATGCTTCTACTACTTAAGAGTGGATTCTTTTATTAATTCAACTTCCCTCCCAAAAAATCTTTCTCTTGATACATACAATTTCCTATTTATGCAGCACCGAGTGTTATTCTTAGAATTGTGGTTTTAGCAACGAGAGTAACAACAAAAATCAGAATAAGCTATTATTATTGTAACTTAATGCTTGTCAAAATTCAGTTAACATGCGAATTTTTAATAACAATAATGTTTGGATAAAAAAATATTATTGTGGGAGAGAAAATTTTTTTCTTGATAAATAATTAGAATTGCAAATACAGGATTTTGATGTTGTAGATATTGGTAAAAAAGAAGTCAAGTAATGTTTGCACGTCTTGAAAAAGTTGAAGTGAAGAGAAACCAGACACAGGACTTGTACATTTTTGGAGAAAAAACCCCCATTTCTTTTCGTTCGTTTGAATGACCTTTTTTGAAATCCCTCGCTTTTTTTTTTCTTCTTGTCCAAAATCTACGATTTAATCGCTTTACATCACTGAAATTTATTACTTTTTTTTTACATCAATCAATCATAAAGATTGTGGTGGGTAAGCAAGGCTACAATCTTTAATAATATTGCATTTGGACTTCTCTCAAGGAGTTTGCGTAATCCCAAAAAGTGGAGTCCCGCTTATTAATAATGGTATTGTGGCTTCGCATAGGATATTTATCATTGTATCGATACAAAACATCCTGATTATGCGTGAGATTTAATTAAATTTTTTGATTATGGTTAAGATCACGTGTTCCAAGTTTTAGAACTTGGGAAATGTAGCTTGCCATTATTGATTCAACTTGTATTAATATTAATTCGTCATAGCAAATCTCTTGCTAACATGTCAAAAACAAAAAAACCATTTATTGATATACTGTATGTAACGAATATTCATGAAGATTTTCCTAAAAATAAAATAATAATGCTGATTGATATATATATACACAATTAATCTCGGTTTAGCCGACCTCGATTTAGCGGATACTAATTAAAAATCACGGTTTAATGGATGAAGTTCAAAGAACAGTAAACCTTAATAAAAATCTTTTCGATATGACGGATTTTCTCTAATTTATAATTGCCGTTAAACTATGTAAATATCGATATAATTATTTCAATCAAAATAGAAAATGCCTTCATATTTCTTTTTAAAAATAATAATTCAGAAATAGTTTTGGGAGACAATCTATTTCTTCTATTCGTTGATATGATTACCAACATCAGAAAATAATCTTTCTGACGGAGCAGATGATGCGCTTGAGCGTAAATATTTATTTGCCAACATTGCAAGAGTTGGAAAATCATTCTTTCCTTCCTTCTACCAAACAAGTGGATCAACGTTGCCAGCAATATTCGCTATACTTGAATATTTTGTCAATTCACCTTGACTAATTTGTTGTGGAGTATCTAATAACTGGTCAAACACTGTATTTTGTGATGTATTACTACAGCTGATATTTAGGCTTTTTCTCCATCGACTTGATTTCTTTGATAATATTTTATATGTCATATCATAACGATCTAATGAAAATCTTAATGATTTAAAGCTTGGATCCCTACTGACCAATGATTTAATAAAGAAATATATAATGCATTAATAGAATAAAAACTCTGCAATTTATATTATATATACAGTGAACCCTCCATAAAGTGCATCTCCCTTGGGAATGGATGAGAGTGTGCATTTATGGAGGCATTTATAGAGGGGAAGAATTTTATTGGTTGCACGTGATACTAATAAAAATAATTTTAAAAGATCACGAAATTTTTTTTTAAAATTTATGTTTAATAAAGTAACCAAAAATAAAATAAGAAAATTCTAAAGAACAATTAGGACAAGTTAATGCCCTTGAGTGATACATTAATTTGAAAAAAAAACTCAATGAAGCAAACCACAATGAAACAATTTTTTTAGTCAACAATAATATATTTAATATGTAATAATAATAGTAGTTATATTTATCCTTTGTTTAATCCTTAATTTTTTAATTTCGCGTATATATAATTTTCTCCATTTGTGTTTTTATCATTATTATTCTAATAACTCTTTGTCAATTAAAAAGAAAGAATTAACGAACATTCATTTAATCTTTTATAAGCAACAGTAGCTTACTTGATCCTTTATTTTCCATTACTAATATTAAAAACGAGGTAACAAAGATGATAAGTAGATATAAATAACGTTTGAATTAATTAATCCAACACAAATTTATTTAGCAAATAAACCACGTGAAAGTCACGGGCATATAGTTTTATATGAACGGGGATGGGGGAAGACCGTGCAGTGCAGAATCTAGAGGGTGTGCGTTTATCTCTAATTCCCGAGGTTGGGAATGAGACATAGCGTGCATTTATGGAGGGATGCATTTATAGAGGGAGCACTTATGGAGGGTTCACTGTATATAAAGATTATTCCAATTCTACCTCTCCTCCAATTTCTTAATGTTCTCTGAATAAATTATCCACCCTACTCCACAAAATATAATTCTTCTACAAATACGTTCATAACGTCTGATCGATCTTATTAAATTATGGTGATGAGCATTATGATTTCTTGGATTTGCCAATCTTCTATGAAGCCTAATAAATATACATTAATAAACGTATTTTTATTTAATTAACATTATTATCATATCGGTGTTGATGTGATAATAATAAAAATACTATAGCCATCTAATAAGACAACACGACCTTTAATGTATGATCAGCAGTTAGATTGGCATCGGCTATATATTCTCATTTTTTACAACTGGGTCAGGTTGTAAACTTTTTACTGCTTGGTTTTTTACAACTTTTACAACTACTTCGGATTTTACAACTCCCTTCCGTTGTAAATAATTCTGCTGAAAATAACCCTTTTCTTTCCGTTTTTTATTATATCCTTTTCAGTAGTCTTTATCTTTAATTGGCATGATTTTTCAAATGGTCTCCTTTTGACCATTAACAGTTGCTTCAAATCCCTTTTCTCTAAATATAAGTCAAATAGTCAAGCCCACAAATATAGCAAAAACTATTCTAAAATATCATTTTTCTCATTTTTTTATTCGCATAAATTGTATTATATATTTTTTAATGAAAATGAAACTGCTCCGCTTACTGACCCTGACAAAAGAAAACCCGAAGAGACTAACTCTTCACAAAGTCAACAACAACAAGAAAAAACCGAACAAATAGGAACTATGTAGTATAGGAACTATTTATTAAAATATAATATATGAATAAACTAACTGGCTTTTCAAAAACAAATTTTACCTGTGATAGTTGCGGAAAGGAATTTCAGCAAGAAGTTGCTTATTCAGCAGCTCAGAATTGAGAGGTGTTGGATAATAATCATACTTACTGCCTTAATTGTGTGGAGAAGGAGGAAAAGAAACAAACAAGCAGAAAAAAAACCAAGGATTTTGGGATTAGAAATAAATCAGGAGTTGGATTCCACTTTTCTATGATGAATCGTCTCGCATCTTTAAATTTTAACTTCTATCATTATTTATAATCGATTACCAAAAATTTTAAAGAAATCTAGTACATAATATTAATAATAATAAATTGTGACTAGTCACGTGATTCCAAAGGTGATTCCGTTTCTTCGAACGATTAACTCTCCTATAAGTCACATCACCCGTTTCACACAACTTATTAATATTGAAATAGTTATTTGAGAAAGGAGTGTTAGAAATCTGATATATTGGTTAGGTAAATGTATATCATTTATTCTAATAGCATAATTGCAAAAAAGCAAGTAAAATTCAACCATAATTACTCAACAGCTAATTGCCAGTTTCGATTAGAAAATGATTTAAAATGATTTAAAAAAGTAAAGTTTTGTTTGAAAATTTATTTGAATCAAGTTGATGAATTTTTAGTGAAATTATAAAAAGTTTTTTGACAACAGTAATTTTCCAGTTTTTTTGCAACACACTGTATATTAAGGTTTTTCTATATTATATATTCTTTAAACTTTACCTCAAGTTTTAAGAGCAAAAGTTATTATTGATTATAAGATTGTGAAAAACTAGCAATTGCTATTATTAGTATAAAATTTGTTAAACCAAGATTCCAGAGTTAAAATGGCGGGTGAAAAGATTAATATGTATGCATCTATATAACAATAAATAAAACCACAGGCTATATATATAGGAAACTTTTTTTTTCAGCCCGTTAAAATTTTTAAGGGTTACACGACAATAAAATGATACCAGGGCTGGGACCAAAAACCTAATTTGGTAATAATTGTCTTGACTTTAACATTGATGACTAAATAGTTTTAGTCAGTTAGCCAAATGCTCATTTAGGTTATGGGGCTAGCCCTGAGATGAACACACACTTATGCACTTGTGTCATAGTGTTTATTGAAATTTTTTTTTTTTACAGTTGATCATTCTCCTGCTTCATATACGTTTTACGAATTAATTGACCCTTGTTCATACTTTACCTTTTTCAATTGACCACTTGCATGCATGATTGTATGATTATAATTAATCCATATCAACATGTGTAAGGGCCAAACTTAAAAAAATGGTCGATCCAAAATTTTACTTCTTACGATCGATCAGTCAAATAATCAATATGGCATACGTTGGAATACAGAGACAGACAAGATTTTTAATTTAAAATTTACAATTATTTATTAAAATAATAAGCTCAAAATTAATGGAACTACAATTTATATATATATGTGTGTGTATATAATTTATAAATGTTTATATAAATAACAATACATTGAATTTATATAATTTAAGAATATTATCAAAATATCTATATATATTAATAAATAAAATATATTATTATTATTCTAAGAGTTAAAAGGTGCTAATGTTTTTCCATCTGAGCTTACTGGCTCGTCATCTGAAAGAAGTGTTGTTTCTGCAGCACTTGGAGGAGCTATAGAAGTAGTATCAGTTGGAGCTAATAAATAATGATCAAAAAAAAATTTAATTAATTAATTTGATCAAATAAATAATAAAACGACGTCAAGGAAATTTTATTTTATTATTACTATTACTTACCACGACGATTTATTGCGTATCCGTGTGACATGGCAACGAAAAGGATGACCATAAAGAAGAAGATAGAAAATACTGATGATTTCATTTTGATTATAAAAAGATTTGAAAGATTGTTTTGTGGGTTTGTTGAAAGATTGAAGAAAGTTGCTTTTTTTGATTTGTATTAAATAATATAAATGGCACAGCCAAATATTGTTATTATAAGAGATATATATTATTTTTGTTTAAAAAAAAATTGTTAAAAATTAAAAATCGAAAGATGATTTTTTTTATAAATGTTTTTTAAAAGATCTTGAAATTTTATTTTTTTATTATTTGTTATTCTTCGTTATTTATTATTTCGTTGTGAAGAAAAAATTCTGAGAGGTAAAAATCGTTTGCTTTTATAAAGAATTTCTCGCCATCAACAATCCAATGACAAATCTGATTATTTAATTCATTATTAATTTCCATTATTTATTATTAAATTATTTTAAAAATCCCATTTTGTGCAATTATGCAATCTATTTTTCGGATTTTTACTATTTTAATACAGAAAATAAGAAATATATTGAGCCAAGCTTTTTTTATTAAATTGTTTCAAAAAAGACAAACAAATAAATAATAAATAAATAAATAGGCAAATAAGGAAGGAGAGTTTCAAAAGTGCTAAACAAATAAGTAAACAAATAAATAAATAGGGAAACCCTTCCATATTGATAACCATTTAAAAAATATATTTATGACTTTTTTTTATACTCTTGTATTTGAATATTGAATGGATGAATATTACTTGTCGAAGCCGGTAAATCCTGTATACTAACGATAAAAAGTTTTTATAAAAAGAAATATCGCTGATATTATTGTGTCTATACATCTTATCTAAACGAAGCAAGCCCCGGATTGCAACGATTATTACAACTGACTGCATATTTGTTATTATTATTTTTAGGTTTCGAATCTTAAAAAAAATTTTTTTTTCCTTTTTTTCTTTCATGACCTTTTTTCACACTAGACCAATTAAATATTAGTTTCGCAAATCTCATGTGTTCTTTAGCCAGTTACTATCTATGGCATTAGCGTAGTACGATTTGCAGAACTTAAAAAACAAATATATATAATTTATTTATAAGGATATTTTGAAACAAACTACTAAATGGAAAATAAACAAATGGGAAAAGAGCGAATGGAAGGAGGGGAAGGGAAGAAAAGGAAAAATCCATTGGTTACAAATATAAATGGAATATTATATAATAATAATAATAATAATAATAATAATAATAATAATAAATATAAATAAATAAATAATAATAATTCTTTATGACGTTGTTGGAAAAAAATCATATATTTAATTTGTATAAATAAAAAACCCAAAAATGGACTTAAATGTTTCATTCATTAGGATCTGAAAGTTCAAGAAAAACAATATTTGGGGATTAATTACTATTTATACATTCATACCCTAATTAATTAATTAATTGTTTTTTATTTTTATCAATTACCTACCCTCTTCAAGATCAGGCAGCAGTTGTGAGTAGCCTGGATCGTTGTAATTGTCATCGTCTTCTTCTTCAAATGGTAACGAAGGACGGGAGAAAACTTTATTTGATTCAAGAAGTATCGTTATAACTACAATTATGATACAAATTACATATATATAAGATTTCATATTGATTAATCGATCGGTTGATTGATTGATCGATTGGATTTAATGTGGTTGACTCGTTGATTGTTTAAATTTTTCAAACGAAATTAAAACTTTTTTTTTTTAATTCAAAAAAAAAAAAAAAAATAACAAAAAAATCAACTTTTTCTTTTTTTTTAGCTTTTGAAGAAAATGTGGATGGGGCTTTGATGTTATTCCTTCTCCTCGGCTTAGCATTAGTTTTTCTTTTTGTGTAAAATGTTATGCTAAATTTGAAATGTTCTGCGCTAAACGTAAACGTATCCTGAGCTAGATGAATATATTACGTAATACCTTGGTGCTTATAATGTAGTAGATGACGAAATCCAAAATTACAGAATAATGTACAACATCAATAATTCGTTTTTGGTGAACAAGAAAGGAATGCTCCTTTGGAATTTTCAAATATTAACAACAGTCAAATGTTTATTAGCGCTGATAATTAATATTGACAATTAATGATTCAGCAACAACGGAAAAGATAGTAACGACATCCAATTTGTTTGCTACTGTTTTACAATGGATCCACGCGAGAAACTGTTACCTTTATTTAGTAAAAGATTCACTATTATTTTGAAAATAATATATTAAAAAAATCCATATTAGTGATGAATTAGGCGATGCGCGATTGATGTGCATTTCTAACGAATTTTCTACATTACAAAGAAGAAGGGGAAGTGTTTCGCATGTACAGATGATCGACGATTCAAATATTTCTATTGGTGTTCATTGTGTCAAAAAAATCAATTACGTTACGTTAATATGAATTTAATGTTATTCTACAAAAAAAATTTTTCAATGATCAATCCATTCACTCATTCAATCCATCATGGTTTATTATAACCTTCTAAACCTGGATTTTTTTTTCGAAAAAAGAAAAAGGTTAATCATTCAAAGAAAATGTCCATTGAGAAACTGGACATTTTTTTAATTTGGGGTAAGAGTCAAATTCGCCAATACAATACAATAAATATTCCATTTTCGATTTTTTGGGGAAATACTTACGAAAGTTTATTAAATGGTCGTACAACTTTTACAATTATATATTAACAATAACACCAGGATATAAACAGAGTCATTTTAGCCTGCTAAGAATTGGTTATTGATTTAATCTATTATAATCAAATTAATCACGATAAGATAGATTTCCTTCTACCTATAGTAACAGATATTATTAATTCATCCATCAATCATATTTCCTTTAAAATCGATTGCTTTTTTTTGCATGATAAAAAAGTGCATAAATCTGAAACAGTAAAAAAATTTTTTTTTAAGCAAACCTCCTTTTATAACTATTTACCATATAATAAAACTTTTGAATTTCTCAAAAAAAGCGCTTATTTCGATAAACTTTGCGCATTCTCGATACATGCTCATCAGTTTATTGTTATACGAATTATTTTTTTTTTATTGGTTGATAAATGTTGTGTCGATCATAAATATATATGTAGAAGACATCTTTTCTGCATCCAGGTTTTTTTTATATATTATTATAAGATAATAAATCAACTCGTCCTCCAAATAATAGAGGCATTAAAATTGTCCAATAACAAAGTATAAAGAATTGTAGAAAATAATTTCATTAAAACGGTTAAAAAAATCATGATACAATACAATTTGAATCATAAATAGTCTATACCTTTATTATTTGTATATGCACGCCTTATCTAATCTAATCAATAACCCTGTAATGTGTTATTCTTCTATATTAATATATTCGAATTATTTATCATCTATTATATATATAACATACATTATTTACTTTTGTAACTCTTCTTGGCATTTCCCTTTGAAAAAAAGTGAAATCACGGAATGCAACGAGAACTAAAGAACATCTCAAATATGTTTTACATATTCACATCAGGGCCGGCCGCGCAACCTAAATGAACATTTGCTAAACTGACTAAACTATTTAGTCATTATGACAATTATTACCAAATTAGGTTTTTAACCTTTTACTGATTCCCACTTTAATTGGCCACAAGTATTTTATTTTGAAATTACGTTACGCAATATAAAAATCAGTATAGTGCATTTTGAATGAGTTTTAAAATTAAGGTTAGTAGTAATTAGCCTCTAGATCTAAATTTCACACATAGCATGCATAAGGATATTGAATATGTATATATATGACTAAAACCATAATAAAGTTAAATAAGGGTTAATAGCCATATCTTGAAGCAATGAATTAAAAAATATTTATTAGTTCCTTGCATTTAAAATTTTCATAAATCTATCTATATACAACTTTAAATAAATTAAATACTTGGCCAAAAGTTTTATTCTTTCGGCAATTTTACATTGAACTAATTTTACTTCTCAACAAATAAATCTTTGGCTTCGAGTCCCGTACTATACAAAAAAAAATAATAAAGAAAAACTAATAATTGTAATTTAGACTAAAAAATTTCTTTTATTTATGAGAAATCTACTTTGTAAATTTCGTGATAGAAGTAACAAGACATTCGTTAATAATTAATATCAATCAACGATTTGTCAATTTTTATTTTCAAGTGGAAATTTTTTAGACAGGCCCAGAGGACAATGGTTGCATATAGCAAAATATGTTTGATCTGTTTTTGTGGTTTGTGATTAGAAATTTTTTTAAAAATGCATTATGGTTTAAAGAATCTCGAGAAAATTTTTGTCAGATACTTGTTGTTTGCTTCATATGTAAACTGTCTATTAGTTTATATCAACCGATAAGTACTGAACGTTATTCTCGAGATATTTCTTTCATTTGATATTACCATATTCTTCCAGGATCGGAAAAATCTTTGTTTTGTAAAATTTCATATTGTATTACATTCATTTTTCGGCAGACATGCATGGAAACTCTTAATGGGTAACACAATTTCTGAACAAAAAAAATTATTGTTAAATAGAATAAAGTAAAAAAAAGAATAGCTTTAAAATTCTCGATGAAAGTGAAGAGATGATGAAGGCGGGACATTTCACCTGCATTGTAAAATCACATGACGAAGTAGAAGAGAAAAAAAAGGGATGTCGGGTAATTTATCATTCATTTACTAATTCGATCCTTCTATCCAAATACACCATAGAAATTATTTAATTATTTTTTGCAAAAGTGTAAATATAGTAAACAGGTATTAACGTAATAATAGTTAATTTTACTAGGATAACGAAGTTATTATTAGACTGTAAAATTCTTGTTATACCTGTTACTACCCAGGATAAAAATAAACTTTTATAATATAAAAAAAAATTGTTGTTTTTCCAAAAACATAAATGGCAAAAACCCAATTTGTTTTATTTTACTTGATTTATTTATTTGTTTTAAAAAAGTAATTATTCATACTCTTAATTATAATAAAAAACTCTCCTTTTATAACTGCCTCAATGTTAATGAATCCTGACATTGCTCCTTGATGTATTTAGAAGAGTTAGTCTATCTCCCTCTTGGTAAATATATTTTAATCCCACAATTAAAGGTTCTTTAATTTTAGTAGGATTTTAATTTAATTCTATTTGAAGGAGTTCGCCATTAAATTTATATTACACAGTGAATCTCAATTTAGTGTACCTAGATTTAATGGATACTAATGGATTAAGATTTAATAATAAAAACTATAACGATATTCTTCTCAATGTAACGGATTTCTTGATACAATCAAACCTTGTCATAACGGATGAACGGAACACACAAGAAAACTTTATTTAAAATTCGTTGTGGCAAAGATTGCTAATCTTGCAACGAATTTTTATGTTTTATGTGAAGCAAAAATTTTAAAAATCCATTATGACAAGAATTTAATGATAGTCCATTGTGGTGCGGTCCGCTGCAGCAAGGTTTGACTTTATTGATATAATAACGGATTGTTTGGAAATTACTCAAACTATCTGCTAAACCAAGATTGTGTATATTTTTAAATTTAAAATTTTTCAATTGATAAAGATATGATGATGGTGGCCGAAACTATTTTTGGAAAAAAGGTAGCTTCTCCTAATACATATATAATAAGTATCTTCTAAATCAATCTACTTTATTTTAAAAAACAATTAAGTAAGATAATTTCGAACTACCATCACTAATATTATTATTAATTGATAACAATAATGATACGAACAAAAAGGTAATCCAATTTACAGTTGTACAATTCATTAATAAATATAACTAATATAGATTCGAATCAAAGCACAATTCGAATTCGATTCGAATTTCATCGATTCGTTCGGAACCTTGGGTATAAGTGAAAATGGATAGTTGCATAAATAAGGTTACAAGGGAATAATAAAATTAAGTATATATGTATAAATAAATTAATAATAATGAAATTTTATATATATAATATAAATCACATACAAACAAAAGATATTTATTCCAGGCGTGACCACATACACTATGAAAAATGAAAAAGATGCATAAAAGGTACGTATAGAATGTAAAAGAGATGCAATTCATCTATACAATATGAAAATTTGTACTCTACTTCTATCTAATATAAATATATAGATAAATAAAATTTTATTAAATTAATTAATTATACAGTCAGAACTCGTTAAGTCGATGCTTTGATAAAATGAATGTGTACGATAAACCCATCTACCTATTAATTTTATTTCTATAAGCCGTTTTTTTTTTTGTGAAAACGTTGAATTTGATTTAACGAATTCTAATTGTAATAAATTAGTTCTTTGAATGGATAACCATATATTCCTGTGCTAGGAATTTGCAATAGTACAAACTTTGTGTATTACTTTTTTTCCTGTTTTTGTTTTAGGAATAGGTTTTCCACGAGCATCACAAAGAGCTGTTTGCTCGAGTCTTTTATTTTTAGTTTATTTCAAATTTCATTATTTCAGATTTTCTTGTAATTTTATTTTGACAATATTCAAAGGTGATATTATATTTAGGATCACATACTTAATACACTATGAAAAATGGAAAATATGTGCAGATGGGGTGCTTACACTCTATCTTACATTTAATTGAGGAACATATTGGTAATAATAGTTTGATCTTATATAATGGCTTGATAGAGCTTATTTTTATTGAATGAATTATTCTAATAAAAATATATTATTTGTTAGTACTTCAAGAACGTGCATCTTTATGATGAGTTATTTATATTAGCTTTTGTTTCAAAACGAATAATTCGAATAAAATGAAATAATTCGAATTAATATTGAGTTATATTACGAATAGAAACTCCAATGAAAGGTATAAGTGTAATGTCATGTATTCGAATTGAAATATTATAAAAACTTGAACAATTGAAGTTGAAGTGGCTGGCAAAAGTGCAGCATTTAACAATTCTTTCATAAGCTGAATTTGGCATTCTTGCGAAAATTTTTTTGTTGAAAACTCGCTGTTAAACTGGAGTTTTGAATTGGGTAATGGATGGTGGCAGTGGCAGTAATGATAACAGTATATATTAATATACATATATTATTTTAGGGTCATGGGACCTGGACTAAGAATAGTTGACGAAATTTGAAGGAAATCAGGATTTTTGTTTTGTTTTTAATTTTTAATATAGTAATATAGTGCAAACATTTCAGCCAATATTAGTGTATCAACTTTGGACGAGGGTAGTGATGCGGTCATGTGTAATTACTAAAAATACACTTGAGAGCCTAAGGTTTTTTTTGATTTTTACCTGTTTTAGCAATTCGATATGTAGAGTAACATTGGATATTTACCACGGTAATTCTTTTTTTATCGTGAGAATCTAAATCATTTTTTTGATGACATTACTATACTGATATAAATCAATATTTAGCCATCATTGGTTATGAAAATCTGACCCATCTGCTATATATAATTTTTCGGGAGTGATAAGAGTCACCACATATTTTGAATGATTTTCATATAATTTTTTTTTGTTGTGGGAATTTTTTATATGTTAACTTTTTTAAAATGATACTATAAGCAATTAATTAGATGATCTGAACCATATCAAAAGATTCAATGGGAGGGATCAGGGAGATTTAACAAATGATTGGTCATTCATTATGTAGAATATGTTTTTCTAATTGTTAATAATAGTTTGAACTTTTTTAAAAAATAAATCTTTATTATATTAATATTTAAAAAAATTAATTAATGAAATTAATATTAAATAATACCAAGAATTTATTTGAAATCTAAATTGTTCTTTCAAAAAAAATTTTTTTATTTTATTAGAATATTTTTTGTACGAAGGTTTCATTTATTGGGTGGTGGTGCATATCTAAAGAAATAAAAAAAGGCAAAGAAAATTTTTTAATTAAATGATAATGATACAAAATAATTTTGATAATTGATAACGATACATACAAAATCTTTCTGGATTTAATAGTAGTCCATTTCCAACGTTTTAGGCAAACAGAAAGTGCCAACATTATTGATAAAATTGCTATTGCTTTAAGTCCCATTTTTTTACGAGCATCATGCTCAGGTTCTGCTGCCCAATTTAAGAAAGTTGTAACATCTTTTGCCATCTGTGATGTAGTAGCCGGTGTTCCTATATAATTTAAAGTTGATAATAATTAAGCATCACAGCAGTAAAAGTAGTTTATTAAAGAAAAATTTTCTTAAAGTTCGTTCAAATATACCATCTTCGTATTCAATTAAGCCATCGTGTAAGGCCCTGGCCATCGCAATAGATCCACCAGGGAAATAAGGGTTGTAATAAAGACCTTCACGCATTTCAACACCAGCTGGTGGATCAACATAACCAGTTAGAAGAGCAAATAAGTAATCCTGAGAATTTTTAATAAACGTATAATAAAAATAAATAAATAAACAAACAAATATGAATTTTGAAATTTCACAATTAATATTAAAATATAAAATGTAATGGTAATAATAATACATACAGAACCATGCTCACGTGCATTAGTAATTAATGAAAGATCTGGTGGAAGAGCTCCTGCATTAGCAGCACGAGCAGCCTCATCATTTGGATAAGGACGTGGCATGTAATCAGAAAGCCTTCCTGGCCTTTGATAATATTCACCAATATCATTAGGACCATCTCTGTATTCTACTTCCTCAGCCATTGCTTTCAATTCCTCTTCACTGTGTGACACGCCTACTAAATGACGCCAAGCAATACGGTCAAGAGAATGACATGCAGAACAAATTTCTCTATAAACTTGATAACCACGACGGATGCTTTTATTTTAATTCCAAAAGTATTTTTATAAACATAGATATAGAAAGAGCAATCAATCTAATTAACTATCAATTCTAATCAAAAAAATATGTATTGATTCAAATACCTTAAAAGGATTGATATATTTTTTTTTAACTTTTTTAAATATCACAAAAAAAATCTCACCTAGCATGGTCAAAAGTATTGAAAGGACTGCGATGAATCCAAGGATATGAAGGTGGATGAAGACCTTCATCAGCCATATTAGCATAAATTGTATTAAAATAAAGGTAACAACCAATACCAACTGTTGTTGTTGCTGCCAATACTGGGGCAGCTATGAATTTTGTATGCTATCAAAGAGATTTTCATTTCATATTAAAAAAAAAAATCAATTATTTCATTTAAATTTTCACAACGATTTTCCTTGAAAATTTTTTTTTGCATAATATCATATAATTAATATTATTTTGAAAATTTTTCGTTTCAAATATATAGAACATTGTTACAATTAACATTTTTTTACAGTAACTACCTAGACCTCAAAAAATAAAGTTTTCACTGTATAAATACGAACCGACTTAGATGTAGTAGAAGTGCCCGTTATGTTTCGTGTCTATTCATCCAGATTTTTAATTATTTAACTGAAAAACCCCATTTATATGAAAAGAAATATATTATATATGTTTGCTAACCTGTTTAGGGGTGACCTTAACCCATTGCTTAATAGTTGTTTTTGCAGTTCGACTCGAAAATCTTGAAAACATAATCTCTCGAATTTAAAAAAAAATTTTTTTTTAATCTACTCGGTTATTGATTGTATAACATTCGTGTTACTTTAAACCTTATATATAGTTTTTTTTCTAAAAAATGTCTGAACAAACAATTCCAACGGAAAAAAAAAGTGAAAATTGTTTATCATTAGATACAGAAGAACAAAATAAAAGACGTTTTCAAATAGAATTAGAATTTGTTCAGTGTTTGGCAAATCCATGGTATTTACATGGTTTGTGAAATTATTAGAATTATAATATGTATATATATTTTTATATATATATTTTACTAATTTGATGTATAAATAAAAAGATTTAGCTCAAAAAGATTATTTTCAAGATCGAGCATTTCTTAACTATTTAAAATATCTTAGATATTGGAAACAACCTGAATATGCAAAATACATAATGTAAGATAATAATGATATTATTAAATTTTATACATGATTAGTAATTATTCATTCATTCTAAAAAAAAATTCAATGTTTCATAGTTATCCTCATGCACTTCACTTTTTAGATCTTCTTCAAAATCCACAATTTCGCCAAGATTTGAAAAAACAAGACATAGCAACTGAGATTCATTCTAAACAATATTATCATTGGATGGCATGGAGGAACATTGATGTGAACGTAGTTAGATCAATAGGTAGTAGTAGTAATGCACAATAAAAATGAAACTTGCTACTGGTATGCCATAAAATTTATTTAATAAATATTGTTTTTATTAGCGAATGAATCAACAAGTGTCAAAATCAATATGTATAAATCTTGATTCTAATATATCTCCTTCCAAATGTAACTTGAATAATTCAATAGATCTACGATCATTTGAATCATTGCAATGTCTTATTAGCCAAAGCCTATAACCTCATGATCAAACTTTATCATAATTTTGATTTTAAATATGTTACAGCAATTGGCAGGATATAATACCTTTTTTCCTATTTTTTTTAATTCGACTGTTGATCTCTTTTTTCCAATGTTTAGTTTTGCCAAATTTGGTTGGCTAGAGATTTTAGCAAGCGTTTAGCAAATGCCCTCAAAAGCTTTCGGGATGGTTTAATGTTTTTTTATATATCATAACGTCCAAAAAAACGCATCCTCGAGCTTTTTTCACACTTGATTCTCTATAAAACTCAACATTTTGTATGTAACTGTTCCCATTTATTATATATAACATGCAACATCATATGGATTTATATAGCTATTACCAAATTCTTGTAATTGCAAGTCAATTAAAATGTGATTTCTATCACATTTAAAAGATATATATGTTTACAATAACAATTAAACCAATTATGTGTGATATTTACAAAATAATGCTTTGTATAATGTATTTTCTGTTGCCTTGTAATTATTTATCACCTTAAATGCTTCTATGGAAAACAATTGTTTCCGCATCTACCAACTTATATAGATTTGAGTTTTTAGATACTCTGGATAAACACTTGGTTGATAAGTAAGTAGATAAGATAAGTAACGAAAAATATTGATTAGGTAAGCTGAATGAATAGTTTACGTGCAATGTGTTAATAAATATAAAAAAAGTAAAAATTTTAATCTAATCAAACAATATAATTAATTAACTCTGAATAATTTCCTAATAAACAGTCAAGTAAACAAAATTTTTTCCTTATCGTCAATTTCACACGTCAAGTTGTTTCTCAAAAATGTAAAATTTTCATGAGGATGAGAACCTGTTGTTTCAGCATATCTGAAAAAAGAACTTTTTCGACAAAATAACAATGTTCATTTAAATTATTACTACTATTATTTTTATCAATATGTAATTTCTCAATAATTTTGTGTTTTTATTTCGGAAAAATTCGTATGACTCATCACAAAGTTTTCCATTTCTAGTCTCTTTCTAATACTGTTATCTTCTTATCGTTAATAAAGATAGGTTAAACACAGTAATTTCATTGTACACTTAATTCATCTAAGACTTGGTATACCCCAACAGGTGTTAATAGTGATAGTAGTTTGGGGTGTCCCACATCGTATGATTTACAAACATAGTTGATTTGGGGGTGCTACAGCCTAATTAAGTAATCTCATAGAGTGTCGATCAATGTTATTTTTTTTAATGATCGACAACGCAAAGAAAATAATAAATAAAATCGTATTTTCAAAATGCTACTAGTCAGTAAAAAAGAGAGATATTATTTCCAACTTTGAGTATGAAAGAGTATAATTTATCTGGTTTATTGGTACAGAGAGATTTTTGAAGGTAACAAATACTGGTGATAAAAAAATCACAATCAAAAATTGCTAATAATGTAACGGATATAATAAAAACACATTTTCCAAGATGCTACTAGTCAGTGAAAAAGAGATATATTATTTCCAACTTTAGTATGGAATAGTATGATATATCTAGTTTATCGGTACAGAGAGATTTTTGAGGTAACAAATACTGGTGATGAAAAAATCACAATCAACATTTGTTATATTGTGACGGGTCCTTTGGAAATTTTATTTTCCTTAGAAATTCGCCATGCAAATAACATTTCAAAATGTATATTAGTATTACAGCAGAGTATCTTCTGAATATAGGTTTTTATTTATTTTTTTTAAAATGGTAAATTTTCCCTTTCAGTATTCCGTGTAACATCCATTAAAAAAACCGTACATATTAATTTATCATAATGATATATATTAATTAGATTTGTTATGACACCCCCAATTTTATAGTAAACTTTGAACGAAAATAACTCTTTAAAGAGCAGAGATACACATTCCATATTAAGATTAAAATATATTAGGAGTATAGGGCAATGTCCTATAGAGAGGTTTTTTTAATTTTAATATAAATTATATCACTTATTTTAAGCTAAAAGAAAAATATGTATATATGATACATAATTTTATTTGCATAAAATTGTAAAAAGCTCTCTATACGCCTCTCATTTTATTTAGATACGTCATATAGTTTGAGTGTCATTTCAGTTTTTGTAATCTTGTGAATATATTTTGACCAAACAAACAATTTACAACCGTTAAAATATTATTATACAATTTCTCATAACTTCTTTATTTATATTAGGGTTTTTTGTGTTTGTGTTTTAGTGAAGTTGGTGAAATTTTACCATCCTGCTCCTCCTGCTCCTACAGAAAAATCCCCTATTTCTATACTTGATGGAGTCAATTCTATATTGGTTCCTCCTACATCAAAATTTACTCCTGGTTCTACTTCTAATTCAATTTCGCCAATGACCGTTTGGCGACAAAACAAGCAACAAATGAAGAAAACTAAAAACTGAAAGGCACTTATTGCTGAGCAAGCAATTGCCACTTTTTTATATATTAATTCGGGAGAAGTATAAAAATATAGCAGAAAAAAGAAAGTAGCAAAAATAGGAAAGACGGAAAGTGGACATAATTTTTCAAAAACTTTACAGTAATTCATGATTTTGTTGTTAATTAGTTTTTACGGCAAACTTTTTATTTCCTTTTGCTGCCTTCTTCTAAACCAAATTAAAAGCTTGTTGATAATAACAATTATTCTAATCAAAGTTGTGTTTTGTTGAACTGTTTGTAAAGTTAAAAAATTTTTTTTTTGTGGCACTAAAAAAATAACAGTAAATCCGCAAAACCCATAAAAAATTCTTATTAATGAAAATTTATATATGTTTGATGTGGGACACCCCAATAGTAGATGCTGTGATAAAAAAACTTCTATTTGTATGACAAGTTGCGGTTAATTGTTTTGTAGAAGCAATGATAAAGATGGAAATTTGAATAAAAGCTTTCAAAAGAATCTTCTTCTTAAATTATTAACATTAATTGTTTTTAAATTGGTAACTTGCCACAAATAACATTTTTGATTTAGAAATCACGCCCACCTTCCATAATGGTATTCTTTTTATTCAATAACAAATTCCTCTTAAAATCTACAGCTCTTTCTATTGACCCCTCCCCATATGATCAAATCCGAAAAGTCGCTAAACAGTCAACATGAATCCATATAGCTGGCAAAATAATATCAATTGATCAGGATTTGTTCTTCTATGTCAACAAGAAAAGTTTTTCAAAACATGTGGTGGTTTGTACCGGACCACGAAAAAGTTGCAAGCCGTTGGTGGCAATAAAAAATATAATTGTAGTAAAGTTGGTCAATTGGTACGAAATTGTATCATTAACTCGCTCGCTTACTCACTCAAATTTTCTTTCCTTCACTCATTATGTATTTCTTTAGAACTGATTTTACTAAACTACCTTCAATCACAAACAAGATATAATAAAATTTATATGATAAATTTCATTGTGCATCTTTATTGGCAAGAAAATATTATGAAAAAGTAGCAATATCATTGTTATTGTTGACCAAGAAAATTGCCAGGATTTCTTAATAGGTTATTATAAGATGACAGAATATTAACCTTATATACAGCAAGAACAACAAGAAACAAGAAACAATCATTCCAAAGATTGAATCAACAAAAATTTCAACATCTTTATACAAAAAATTCGACTGATGGCAGTATTGGGCCCAAGTGTTAAATCAAAGCAAAGAAAATTTTGACGTTACTGAATTGAAATATTCAATCAATAAAATTCCAGCTGCTTCGTCAGAAGAAGATGCCGAGGGGAGAATAATTAAAAAGAGCAAAAAAAAGTTATGTCAAATAAATTGTTTGTGATATTCTCAATGCAAATAAAAATGAAGACTTTTCTTTTATAATAAACACGATTTAATTTAAATTTTTATTAATCATAAAAATTTTAATTTATCATTAATAAAAAAACATTTATTTAATTTATTTTAAGTATGAAAAATTTTAATAAGTTAGTTTATAAGAAAAAATGCAATATTTAAAGATTTCATTTCAATTATTGATTTATATTATTGCAAAATGAATAATAATAAATCTATAATTATAATTATTTTCTCAATTTTCTTTCTTATTATTGTAAACGGTAAGAAGCAGACATCATAATAATTTATACTCAATAATAATTATCTTTCTACTTAAATAATCTTGCATCTTCTGTAAGGTCAAAATAATTGTTCGGGTGGAATTCAAGTTCGTCAATCATCCGACCTAAATCTTCTAAAAAATTGCAAGGTATTTACCGGCACAATAGCAATATCCAACGTTGATGATATTTCAGATTTGATATTCAACAGATTGGAACGTCTCGAGGGAACATTAGATATTAACGACAATCGACTATTAAGACGTGTTTCATTCCCAAATCTAACCTCTGTCACCCGGATTGGGATTGCTAATCAAACAACGTTGACGAAAATCGAATTTCCGTTTTTGAAACAAGCCGACACATTAACATTCCGTCAATTGGCTGCTGATGTAACGTTTGACAGTGGATTGGAGTTTATCAATAATATTGAAATTAGTGATACGAATATTCACGAATTGAATGGTTTCAATCCTAAAAATGTTATCACCATTTCAATTAATAATAACCCATTTTTGAGAGAATTGAAATTGGATAGTTTACTAAAAGTTGATTCATTATACGTGGCTTCCAACCGCAATGATGGGTTTTCCTTTGAGGTAAATAAAAAATGTGGAAATTGAAAAAAAAAAATTTTCATAAAAATCAATATTATTTATTATTTTATTAGGCACAAAATTTGCAAACTGTTAAAGATCTAGTAATTGAAAATGTTACAAGTCTTTCATTACCATCGCTCGTCTCCTCCGATTCAGATATTGCGTTATCCGATAACAATTTTTCAAAATTATCAATACCAAAACTTGATTCAATATCTGGAACATTTGCCATAAAAAGTAATCCCGAGCTCAAGAAATTGGATTTTCCGGAATTGAAAAATATGGGTGGGGCTCTAATAATTTCTGAAAACCCAAAATTATTAACTATTGACGGATTTCCTAAACTCAAACGGATAAATGGTGTTATGGATATTACCGGCTCGTTCTCGGAATTTTCGATGCCTGAATTGAAAGAGATACGTGGTGGAGTAAATGTTGAAACTAGCGATAAGCGATTTGATTGCGATAATAATAAAATCAATTCGTTAAAAGATTATGGAATAGCCAAAGGTGACTACTTTAATTGTAAATCTAGAATATTAAATCCAAAATCTAATCCTTTAATAAATAAAAATAATGGTAATAATGATAAGAGTAAGAGTAATGGTGATGGTGACAATGGTGATTCGAAAAATGCGAATAATAATAAAAGCTTTAGTAATGACTCTTCTAATGGACATTTATTATTGTTGAAAAGCAGTAATAGAATATTTTTTTGGTTAGAAATTATTTATTTTATTATTTTATTTGATAAATATTATTAAATGTCATAATTATTTACTTATTATTATTATTATTTATAATAATAAATACTTTTTAATTTTTTCGAAAAAATAAAAAACATATTAATTAATAATTAATTTTAAAAAAGTTTTTACAATAAATTCTTATAGTTTTTTGTTAAAAAGTAATTTACAAAGAATTAAATTTTTTTTTTTTTTTTTTGTTTAAAAATAAATAATGCATAATCAATATGCTTTATTTAAATTTTCTTTGTTACATCTATTTCTAATAATTTTTTTATTCAAAATTATTTTGTATAAACGATAAACAAATAGCTCTCGCTTCATGACTTAAACCCAAAAATTCAACGTTTTCCCAAACTTGATGACAATTATCAACTGTGATTGTGTCGAACCATTTATCAGCATTACCATCATACAAGTATTCGAAGATCGGTTCAAAGGTTTCTGGAGATGGAATTTTGATAGTGAAACATTCGCCGCTATTTTTGATGGTGTTGAATACTTGTTGAAAAAATGTTGATTGCAATACCAGGTATTCTTTATGCACCCAGAATGGTTTATTTTCGATTCCTTCGATGTGAAGCTCGGCGAATGCTGTCGATTTGTCACCTAAATATCTTGGACCTAATTGATGAAGTTTGTCAAGAACATATCCAATTGGGATCTCTTCATCAACTGGGTTTGGGCTGTTTGGGTTGGTATTATTAATAAAAATATCTTTCAAAGAAGAGTATTGAGAACGGTTTTGCTGATCAAAGTTTGAGGAAGCTGAGAGCATATTTGTTTTTGTTTAGGTTTTATTTTTTTTTTTTTTAGAATGGTTAAGAAAATTTTTTATTTTTCTAATTTTTTTTTTTAGAACTCGTCAAAAACTTTCCTCTTATTTATATTATTTTTCAAGTATTAAAATGCGACGACAATCTATCTATTTTTATTTGTTTTGTGTAATGAAATTTAATTTTAATTTTAAACTTAATATTGTTTAAATATAGAAAATAATATTTAAAGTAATTATTATTATAATTAAGATGGGATATTTCAGACAATAACTTTCTAGTTAACAACAATAGTTTCTTAATTTGTAAAAAAATGCCTATTATCTATTAAATTTGGAATATTTAATGTTTGTCTGATCTACAACACAATGAGTATAATAACGGTAACAATATTATTAATTATAATTAATTGTTAATATTATCATTATTATTTTTTTTTTTTTGGTAATCGTAATAAATGTTATAAAGCTTAATATCTTAAGATGGAGATGTTATGAACTTATTATCTATTTATCAAAAGCTTTACTGATATAGTGTCATTCATGTTTTGAGAATGATTATTATAACAAGTTATAAAACAAGAAATTGGGCGAGTGAACCAGGAATAAAATTTGAAATTGTTGATTAAATTTGGTAAAACTTTAAAAATCTTACCAAATTCGAATTATTTATTTACTTGTTTTCTGGTTGGTAGCAAATATTCCATTAATTTAAAAATTTATTTTGTTTCATAAATGTTTCGTCTTTCTCCTTTTTTGGGTTTTTTTTTGAAAGTTAATTTCCATTACCATAATTTTGTATACGTTGTGCGCGCGTGTGTGCGTTCGATTAATCTTAGAGATAGTATTGTTTGTTCAAGTTTTATGTTTCATTAATTCAAATTCCCCTTAGGTATTATGCATAAACATTATTCGGAAGATGTATAAACATTGTTTGATAACAGATAATTATTTTTTTATTACGACATAAAATAATAAATGATTTTTCTATAATTTGATAAGTTAATAATTTATATTATTTGCTAATACTAATTCATATTAGATAAAAAGTGACTAAAATAGCCAACAATATTATGTATATATTTTAAAACAATTAAAATTTAATATTAATATGCTGTGGTAATGAATTATAAATAATATTTTGTCTTTCAAATTGGAAATGCACATTTTGTGTTTCTAAACATCTAAATTGATTCGACAGAAATCTACAAAATTAATAAATTAATAAACAAAACTAATTGATAATGATTACCATTGCAATTACTAATTATAGCTACCTATTGGAATTTATAGGTTGAAAAAGTAATTTTAAAAAAGTTGCTGGAATCGTTCCATTTAATCAAGTATTTGTTTAATTGATTTTGGGATATTTATTACGAGTGTAAATGATTATATCAAACAATCCCGATTCAATAAAGAATTTAGGAGAAAGCTGATCTTACTTCACATGTAATTATTGTAAAATTTATCCATGTGGAAGATTGCAAACCTGTTAATAAAACTGAAACAAAAACTTTAAATTATATACATCAGATGTCATCATATCATAATAAGGTTTACCGCTCAACACTCTTGGTGATAATACTTATTTTACTCGATCCTGATGTTTGATCAGCCGGAAATGATAATCTTAAATCTGACACATGTAGTAATTGAGTCATATTTTTTTATAATATGAAGATCAACGGCGAATTAATTTTTGTTCTAATTAAATCTACAATAATATTATGAATATTATGAAGAATGATAAGTTTATATATTGTTTTGATGAATAACTTTCAAGACTTCCATCTAATTACAATTTTGTTTTTTTTTTAACATTTAATCAATTCTTTCTATATCTATAATAAAAAATATGTCGAATGGATGTAAATTCAACAAAAAAAAAATTTTTTTTATAATTTAATGTTAAAACGAAAAAAGTTTTTTACCAAATAAAAAATATACTTTTTACTTCAATCTATTTAATCTATAATTTATATTGCAATATATTTATAAACATGCGCTATATATACATTAAATAAAATAATTATCAGTTTATTAAATCAAGCAAAGAAATTATTATACACAAAAAACTTTATCTATTAAAAATTTCACCAAACAACAAAATAGTTATTCAAAATATCAAAATAAAAATTTGCTAAAAAAAAATAGAACATGTGACTTTTTATTTAGGACTTTGGGATTTGGGACTATTTTGATTTGGGGATTTGGGATTTGAGGTTTGGGCGGCAAGTATAATATAATTATATATTCTTTTTTGTAATCGGATCTTGTGTTAAATTCGTAAATTTATAGTGAATTTATAAGAATAATGCGATTTTTTTTTTTTAATGCAATAATTCTATTGTTACTTCTCATATTATCAGTTATATGCTCTCCATCATTTATCCAAGTAGCTTTGTATATAGTCGCAAATCCACTTTTGCCCATCTTTTCAAATCATTATAAGGAATCCATCGAAGATAATTTTCATTGCAATTATTTGCTTTAAGTTGTGTATTTTTAATTATTCCATCGCCACTGGTATAACCTTATGTTGATAGTAACGGATCACATGAACAATATCTATTACAAGTTTGACATATACCAAATATTTTATCCCTTTTTAGAGTTCATTTTTGTTTTCATCACTGTTTCCTCCTATCTTTATCATTGTTTTCATCTAAAATCTTTTATTTTATTCATTTAATGAATTGAAGCAATATGTAATAATCATGATAATAATACAGAATTAAAAGAACACATGTATTTAAAGTAGAAAATAGGATACCTTTTCTTCATTGAAATCAAAGAATTTATATAGAGAGAATTCCAAAGTGTGGCGCAATATGCTTCAACTTGATAATTCTTTTCAGTAATTTGCTCTGGTGAAATGAGGTGGCGAGAATGGGTTAATATGATATACTGTCTTGACTAGACTTTTTGGAAGTTTATATGTAACAGAATTATAATCTGGATGGAACATTCGATTATTAGTTTGTTTGTTTGCATGCAAATATTAAATAAATGTACTACTATATTATTGACATTTTTCATCTCAAAGTTTCTGCATACATCCATAACACATTGGGGTGTTACACGTCAGCATAAACACAAACATACAGTCTACACTGTCTATAACGGATGGATCATTGAGACCAGGAAATTTGTCCGTTATAGAGAGAATCCGGTATAGAAAATTGTACTACTACTACATTAAGTCATGCGGAATAAAAAAATTTTTATTATTACATAAAAAAATATTATTAATTAATATTTAAAAAACAGTAATATAGACTGTTTTGTTGAATTGAATTCTATTTTTTTAACTGTTTCAATTCCTCATTTGTAAATTCCTTAAACTGTTGTTCAAACAAACAAGTTTACTTTTTCAATAGCCAATAAAGTATCTTGACTTGAAATAGGAGATGTCTCTTCGATGTCTTCTTCATCCTGATTTCTTCATTAAAATTCGACATAGAAATTATTTCTTCTTCAACATTTTTTTCCATTTCATCAATATTTTTAGTTCATTACATCATACCTTATGTCATTTATTTCAAATAATTGTTTTGATTTTTTTTTTTTTGGATTTTTATAGACAACATTTTTTATTTTTTTATTTTGCGATTATGGGTAATATATAGTAATTTTTTTAGGGAATTGTTATTCGCTCCCCCATTTTTGTTATTCATTATTAAAAGACAATCACATTTTAAAGCTATTCATTGGTCACATTACTTCACTTAGTTACGGGAGGGGTGCGAATAACAATTCTCTTTTTTTATTATAATCTAGATTTGGAGAGATCTGCATTTTATTCCAGATCACGTGCATCAGTTATATTCATATGTAAGTCATATGAAGTGATTTTCAGATACAATCCGTTATACATAATAAAAAGTTTAATAATCAATAATATCCGCTACTTCAAATAGTAAAAAGTCGGGACCAAACTTTTATCCGTTATTATTATAGAGAAAAATCCGTCATCTGTTATTATTATAGAAAGATCCGTTATAGAAAGGTGTAGACTGTAGTTGAGCACACATATAAAAAATCATATGTAAGGATTTTTTATTGGGAAAAATGCAGACCAATCTTACAAACAATAATATTAATAATAAAAAATAAATAATAATATCGTTATAAATTTTTTTCTTATTACGATAAATATTCTCCTAATACTA